AAACCCAAACCATTTTGATTATCACACGCATTTTTCTTTAAAATATTTTTCATCCCGTTCCATATTAACAGGCCTGACTGTATAGTAAATACAGACTATTTTTTTGTAGTCATGCTCTGTGAACTATAAAACAACACCATGTCTTGAAAAGGATAGGAGGCATTTGGAAATGTCAAAAGTCAATGAAGGCATGTGAATTCTATTCTGAACATAAAATCCGCCCGCTAGATTAATTTTTAAACAATAAAATTGTTTCAGGTTGCACTTATAAATGTGACTTGACATTAGCTGCTCATTTGTGTTACCCACATCTGGAAGCAGTTAATAAACATGGTGTTATCGTCGAGTTTCGGAATTGTGAATTTTGTGTAAAATATCGACTCGAGATCAATTACAACGATCAAACATCGCAGATGCTTTGTACAGACCCCCCCCCCCCCCACACACACACACACCATTAGGCGCAGCCCAGAGAGAGTTTACGTTTTGGTTTTTTTGTAGTTGTTTAACGCCACACGCCACAATCAGCAATATTTCAGCTGTATGGCGATAAATAAAGCCTGGACCGGGCAATCCAGTGATCAGCATCGACATCAATCTACACAACTGGGATACAATTACATGTCTTAACCAAGTCAGCGAGTCTGACCACCCGATCCCTCTTACGACAAATATGGGTTGCTGAAGACCAATTCTAACCCGGATCTTCACGGGTGGATTAATAACAGTTGACGGATCCTGTACATATACTGATGTACAAAAGAAAGTACACATCTGCTGTTTTGAGACTATTAAAACAACGTAAATATTTTGGTAGCAATGTTCCAATTGGGTATGATATCTATGGCGTTATTGCAACACGTATATAATGTTTATGACCCGTGAGTCGCAATCAAAACACTTTTCTAAATATTACGCTGTTTTCAGGAAAACATTTTACCAAAGCATCAGGTGTGTACTTTCTTTTGTACGTCAGTTTATCTAGAAGTGAGTGAGTGAGTGAGTTTAATTTTACGCCGCCTTTAGCAGTATTCCAGGAATATCACGCGGGGGACACCAGAAATGGGCTTCACACATTGTACCCATGTGGGGAATCGAACCCGGGTCGTCAGCGTGACGAGCGAACGCTTTAACCACTGGATACCCTGGACACACCGGAGTCTGTATACGGGCATATTCTAAAATAGTTTGCAATTATCATGTTCCATGATGACCTCTACATAACATGGATCGTGCACTGATAGGCCTCTAATTCAAAACCACGAGCATCTTCATTACCAACCTTGAAGGAGCAGCCTCGGAAAGATCGCCCTTCTGCTGATTCCGCAATGTAGATGATACTTTTGTCATCCTACACCCCAAATTTTACGGGACAATCTCAGCTCCCTAAACCCACATTCAGTTCATGGAAGAAGGGACTTACCGCCAACCACACTTCATTGATGTACTCTTACTGAAAGACTACACCGACACGCTCCAGAACACAGTATAGCGCAAGCCTACCCATACGGACCAGTATCTTCACTACTACTACTACTACAACTACTACTGCTACTACTACTGCTACTACTACTACTACTACTACTAATGGCATTTGCATTGCGCTGTCTCCACCCCACGAGGGTGTGCTCAAAGCGCATAACACAGTATTACCCCGGGTAACCCAAGCTGCCTGTTAGGCGCTAGAAGGTTATGGGCACATGACTTTATCCTACCGGGTACCCATTTTCTGGTGTGTGAACAGAGGCAATTTTTTAACAAACCCACTTGCCTTAAGTGAGACCACATGTATCACATGTGCTTCGTTGTGGGGCAGGACTGAAGGGGGTACGCGCAGTAGTTGGAACAGTGAAACAAATGCACGTGCGGTGCGTGATGAACGTTACCTTAGACTACCGTAGAAACCAACCCTTCTTGTTCTCGGGGTTTCATTTAATGTGCTTACCCCCTTGTAGTACAAACCAATACTAGCGATTTGAAAGTATGATCGTTTGTTAAACAACTTTTATTCTAAGTTGAATAAAATTCTGAGATTTTTATGTTCAATTGGCAAGGTAAAGTTATGAGGATTCGCAATCTTAATTTCACTTTATTTGATTTACTTTTTGTTTAAAGTGACATTCATCGGTACGTTTTCACTGCAAACAGGCTATAACAACTACCACGAACAGCTTGAGCAACAAACAGTACAGAGCTTCAACAACAAAACACAGAAATCCACCCGTCACCAAACCGCGACCTTTGTTATCAGCCTCCCGTACTATGAAATGGTCAGCCACAAAAAGTCAGAGACCCTTATATCCCAATATACATGTAGTTCAAGACGAATAACAACATCTAAAACACCACCAAACCTACAGAGAAACCACAACAGCAACACGTTCCATGCAGTTGTGGACAAGCTTTAGGGGTGGGTATTGCAGAGAATTTTCATATTGCGATAATATTGCGATGCGGAAGCATATATTGCGATATGTATTGCAATATATTGCAAGGATTATTTTTTTAGCAAAAACACAACAAAATCCCATGATTGATTAACCTTTTATAAAAACTTTTAATCATGACAAAATAAAAATGTAAGTTACATTTGGCACTAATGAAACAGGGAAAAGAAAAATTAAAAAAACCGGAAATATCCGAAGATTTCCGAGTGTTACGAAGTTTTCCGAATGCATGTCAAAATACCGGTTTTCGATCAGCGTATCGCAAAACGTATCGTTTTCATGTCTGAACCGGTAAATACCGGTAAACCGGTTATATTGCCCTAACAAGCTTATGTTGATGCAACATCCAGACCCCTCACAATCCGAATCAAAGAACATCAGAGCTCAGTATCAATATTTATTCCAAATTAGCCTTATCAGTCCATATCCGAGACAGTCCCGATCACAGCACCCAGAGGGACAAAGTCAAAACCCAAACAACCAACTCCGAAATCAGAAAACTTGCAGAAGCTTTCTACTTCAACCATCAATCAACCGTGTTCAAGGTTAATACATACCTCCTGTATACAATAAACTCATCTCATCGCATTAGTCGTGAGCATTCGCTTGTTTTGCAAGCTTTACTTGTGATCGTATTTCATACTCTGGTCTTAAGCATTGTGTAGTTAACTGGCTCCCCCACTCTATTGCAATCAGAAGTCATAAGATCCGGGTTAGAATAATGATCTTCAGTATCAGAAGTCATAAGATCCGGGTTAGAATAATGATCTTCAGTATCAGACTGCTGCCATATAGCTGGAATGCTGCTGAGTGCGGCGTAAAACTAAAACCACTCACTCACTCACTAATCCAAACTATTTGTCATAAGACTCCCTCACAAATGTAAATATGCCTTTCAATCCATGCTGTGTATATCACTTGCTTGATAGCAGTTTTGAAACCTAAACAGAAACGTCGCTCCTACTGTTCTATTGTTCTTCATCCATGTACTGTTATCTTTCCTCATTGATGGTATTGCATCACTTCCTCGCCCACATCAAGCCGACATTTACTCCCTGGCTCCACGCACTTCGAAGTCAGAGTGGATTTTGTTCTAGGACCCTCTTAGCTTAATTTCAGCAATATCACGGCGGGGGACACCAGAATTGGGTTTCACACATTGTACCCATGAGGGGAATCGAACCCGGGTCTTCGGCGTGATAAGCGAACGCTTTAACCTCTAGGCTACCCCTCCGCCGCGTTGTAGCAAGGTAGCAAGGTAATATGCACAGTTCGATTAATCTATCATATATATTACAGCTTAAACCAGCTTATAACACAGCAACTTTTACTTGAGTACGATCTGAATTATAACAGGCTAGAAGTAGCCATCCAATCAAATACAATGAAACCAATGAACGAGAAAAAGTCTATGCCAATTGCAAGCTATTCATTGGAAAAATTGAGATGTGACGTCACTTCCGGAATAATAAATGGGCCCAATGTATATATTGTAACAGAATGGACATATTGAACCCTGAATAATCGAAATTAGAGACACGATGCAGAACAAGGAACCAAAACAGGATAAAGATGACAATTATCACGAAACACTGGCCAGTCCCGCTTTGATCACAGACCATGAATGAATTTGAAGCGTGTGAATGATTCTGGTAGTAAAAGATTTCACATACGGGTGTAGTGATAGATCGAAGTATCTATAGTATTGTGATTGTACAGAGGCATAGGCATATAATGATGAAGACGGACGTGTATCAACACAAATGACCACTGTGTCTATCGATTTAAGTCACTAAATATGCATTTTTATTTGAGCTTTTCCTACTATAATCCAACAACAATCTTCTGCTCCTTGGCGACAGGAGCTCGCTGGCATTTGAAATATGAAGTTAGCGAGTACAGCTTTGCGTGGCTTTGAGTGAGTGAGTGAGTTTAGTTTTACGCCCCTTTTAGCAATATGCCAGCAATATCACGGCGGGGGACACCAGAAATGGGCGTCACATACTGTACCCATGTGGGGAGTCTGCGCAGCTTTGAACAATATTCTAGAAACGTGACGACGGGGACATCAGAAACGGGCACCACAAATTGTACCTAACATCAATATCAAACAGGAACATCGGCCTAACGCCCCTGCCCTACAGAAATGTAATAATGGTCACAATACTGTTACAAAAGTGCTTCTGTGTAATGTATAAGGTCGGGGGCCCGGGGGCCCGGGCTCGAATCATCTTCATCAATTTCCGGTATTTCCCGTAGTTATATTGCTAGAATATTCCTAAAACTGGCGAAAACGACACTCATTCACTGTTCTATATAAAACATATTTTAGGCATTCAATATTAACCTCAATCAGAAATATAATAATACTAATAATTTCTAATAAATGTCATTAAAGATAAATATCACTGTGAACAACGAAGCGTACAACCTCATGGATAACAACTTCATTTATAGATTCATACACCGTAATCAAGGTGAGAGTGAAACGTCGTTCTATGCAATAAAACAGAAGCTGTTATAATAAAGTTGTACGCTTCATTGTTCACTTACCAACTTCTAGAATGGCGATCAAACAAACATCGTGAACATCTTACAACGGAAGCAATATCTCGACCACAACCACGGCACAGATCCCCGCAAGGTTCGACAGTCTTAACTTCATAGTTTAAACCAGACTTACCGCTAAAATCGCTTTGTGAATCGGGTTCCCGAAAACGAGCTATGTAGGAAATGGCCTGTACGATTTCTAACAGGACTTGAAAAGCACCACATGTCTCACAAACGAACTTGGAATGAACACTCAAAGACCCACAGAAATCAATACACAATCATTCCGCACATACCTGTCCACAAGCGCGTCCTCTCTCCACTCCCGAGGGGCCAGGTTTACAAAACGAACGATACATCCGCCTGTGGGTTTATATTCCGTTTACCCCACGACTCTTATCGATTGGGAAGGTCACGTGACGCGAGTGTCCGGCGGTGCCATTTTGTTTCTCGCTGTAAGGTTGAACGCTGTTGGCTGGTCGCGTGAACACGGCTTATGTTTACTTTGTCGCTTTTGAATTAATCTGAAATCAGACCTGACATAAAGGCATACGTGTTGATGTCGCGTAGACATGTGGCGTTGTTACTGGCGACGGCGTAGAGGAATGGATGCGAGTCGGTAGTGACATGTGATGAATGCTAAGAACGTGAGTTTTATGGTTTGGAAGACAGTTTGGGTTTCTATTTGAGTCATGGGGGATATTAATTTGTGCATGTCGTCGTGACTGTAGGTGGGTGGGTGAGTGAGTGAGTGAAGGAAGGAAGGAAGGAACGATTACTGACTGACTGACTGACTGAGTTTGGTTTTACGCCGCTTTTAGCAATATTCCAGCAACATCACGGCGGGGGACACCAAAAATGGGCTTCACACATTGTGCCCATGTGGGGATTCGAACCCGGGTCTTCGGCGTGACGAGCCAACGCTTTAACCATTAGGCTACCCCACCGCCCCTACGAACGATTAATTTTTACAGAAAACCTCCATAGTTATGTAATATTGAAAACCTGACAACAATGTGTAGAAGTCCTGAAACACTGGCCAGTAACTCATACCATCGCCGGAAATGAACCTATGAAAACGAATTGGTCAAAGGTGTTAATAAGAATAGGAGATATTCCACCCTGCATGGTCGAGGATGATACACTAAAGCGACTGAATTAAACACGAATTTCTTACTGATGTGGAAAGTATCACTTTAACTGGACGTTTTGTGTAGTAATTAGCGACTGGTCTTTACAACTTTGATGAAGAGGACCCGATTTGTGTGTGTGTGCGCTGTTAACAGACACATAATCAGAATGATACGGGGATTCAAACCCACGTGTACAGGATCCGGGCACTGCTATTGTCTCACTGACACGGCTGGGCCACCCTCATTACATAAAGTGGGGGTGACGGGTAGCCTTGTAGTCGCTCCGCCCATCCCCTGGCCCGACAGATCCTATTCTGTACATGAGTGAACTGTCTGAAGTCCCAAGACCCTTCAAGTTGACATATAGTTGGATGGTTAGTGTGGACCAGACAGCCCAGTGATCAACACCATGAGCATCAATCTATACAATTGGTATACGATGTGTCAACCAAGTAAGCGAGCCTCTGTGTGTGTGTGTGTGTGTGTGTGTGTGTGTGTGTCTTCTCTTCGATGTAACCACCACAACACACAGTCTGCATTCAGTAGGATATCACTTCTCTGCTTGTGCTAAGTGTTTTAAACAGTATGTATTTGTTATTGGGTCAATATTGCCATTACGCCTCCTCTTGTTTGTGGAGGGGAACTGATCGCGAGGATCTCGTGTTGCAAAATATGTGTCATCCTTTGCAGTTTGCCGAAGAGCAATGCACACACGCACACTAATGCACGCATACAGACACACACACACACGCACACTTACGTAAACATACACACAGCCACGCACCGATATAGCCAACCAGCACACAACCACAGTACACACTCTCTCTCCCCCTCTCCCTCCTTCTCCCCCCCTCTCCCTCCCTCCCTCTCTCTCCCCTTCTCTCTCCCTCTCCCTTCCTCTCTCTCTCCTCTCTCTCTCTCCCTCTGTGTGTGTGTTGTTTAAACACACTCTCTCTCTCTCACGCACGCACGCACGCACGCACGCACGCACGCACGCACGCACGCACACACACACACACACACACACACACACACACTTACTTTGGACTTCCGGGTCCGTCTCTCGACTTAACATCATGATATGCTAGACACGTCTGTAACCGACATGCTTGTGTCATGGACCCGCTCACAGTTGCAAGATTTTGTTTGGGACAAGCTGGCGTTGACGGATGAACACCGTCATTCAGATGCGTTGCCTCGCCTCGTGTAGTCATCTTCAGATTTCTGGCTAGAGCGGAGTTTGTATGCTTGTTTGTCTCGCTGAAACAGATGAAGGTTACCCCACGCGCTGACTCGGAATGTCGGGAGTGAGTATGGTTTTACGCCGCTTTTTGCAATATTCCAACAATATCACGGTGGGGGACACCAGAAAAGGGCTTTACACATTGGACCCAAGTGGGGAATCGAACTCGGATCTTCGGCGTGACGAGCGAAGGCCTTAACCATTAGGCTACCCCACGCCTAGAAAGACATCGGGGCCAGGAAGAAGGCACTTTGAACAGTGACGTCCCTTGATTGCCAGGATCTGCTGGTGAGATGAGATGAAATCGGCTGAAATGCGTGTGTGCGTGTGTGCATGGATATCTTCTTTTATTTTGCAGCCTAATGCCTGTGTATTGGTGCCAGAACAGTCATATATACCAAGGGATAGTTTAACGTGAATACTTAGTGTGTGAGTATGTGTGTTTGCGTCGCTTTTAGCAATAGTCCAGCAATATCACGGCGGGGGACTCCAGAAATGGACTCCACGCATTGTGCTCATGTGGAGAATCGAACCCAGATTTTGGCGTGAGTGGGTGAGTGAGTGAGTGAGTTGGGTTTTACGCCGCTTTTAGCAATATTCCAGCAACATCACGGCGGGGGATACAAGAATTTGGCTTCACACATTGTACCCATGTGGTGAATCGAACCTGGGTCCCCCAGGCGCCACTAATCTACGCCCCCACCCCTTAAATATTTACCTCACATGCTATACTCTGCATCCCATCCAACCGACCCTTGTTATAATCCCGCCTCTTAATGGTGACCACTGGGCAGGGTAACAAGAACAATCTTATAAAATTTGTTAGGACACGACATTTTGCTCTCCTGGGGCAGGCCACTGCAACAGTTTGTGTTGGAGTAGCCGTAGTGGAGTCGGAGTGACGGTGGTCCGGATTCGATGGCCGGGCTTTAAATACTGGATTCGAACCGCTTATGAGACTTGGTACGCAGAATCGTAAAGGCTTCGTTTGTGCGATAGACCCTTAAAGATGTGACTTGGTTGACACATGTCATCGTATCCCAGTTGCGTAGATCGATGCTCATGCTGTTGATCACTGGATTTTCTGGTTTATTTACAGACATATGGCTGTAATATTGCTGAGTGCGGCGTAAAACTAAACTCACTCAATCAATTGTTAGTGCGATACGACTCAAATCCAGTTCAACTCGCTCAGTCAGAACGTAGTTATATTATAGGCATCTCTAGACATCTGCACAATAAGGGGCGGTGGGGTAGCCTAGTGGTTAAAGCGTCCGCTCGTCACGACGAAGGCCCTGGTTCGATTTTCCACATGGGTACAATGTGTGAAGCCCATTTCTGGTCTCCCCCGCCTTGATTTTGCTGGAATATTGCTAAAGGTGGCGTAAAACCCAACTCACTCACTCACTCACTCAATGTAAACAAAACAACTTTTTCTGGATGAAAACAAGATTCCACAACTTCCATATATGGAATATGAAACAAGCAACACAAGTCGTACATCAAGACGATAGACGTGTGATTGGTATGAAAGAATCACATTCACGGCACAAGTTTTTGTGTTTCATTACAAAGTGTTAACTTTAAGGCATAACTTGTCAAACTTTGAATAAATAACACGGAACACTTAGAGGTTTTAGACATTTCGCTTCCACGTCCATTGTATTTGTTACATGATATATTTGTTTCGGATGATGGGCCAATCAAAGAAGAAACACAATGTGACATTTGACGGTCATGGAATGAAAGCGTAAATCACATATCATTGAATAAATGAATGTTCTATGAATACGATCAATAATTTGAATTATTCAGCGAAATCCTCCAGGGCTTGCAGGAACTACTTTATTACTCGTAAGCCTACATCACATTTAAATCTGTATTCTACGTATAAATATTTACCAAGATTCCACGCATGCTCATTTGCATATTCAAACCCGTAGGAACTGTGGGTAATTAACACAGGTTCACAGATAGGTATTAGGGCCGTATTCAGGGACCTTAGGGCTGCGATTGTCATAAGCATGTTCAAGTCTGTGGGTAACGATAGACTTAACGCTAAGGGGTTGGTGGGGGTAGCCTAGAGGTTAAAGCGTCCACTCGTCACGCTGGAAACCCGGGTTCGATTTCCAACATGGGTACAATGTGTGAAGCCTATTTCTGGTGTCCCCGCTGTGATATTGCTGCACTATTGCTAAAAGTGGCGTAAAACCATTCTCACTCGCTTAGCGCTAAGATCGCTTTGTGTATCCGGGCCAAGCGTGAGGCGACAGAGTGAGAAGATCGATTTTTACTGTATTTTTTCTCCTTATTTGGAAGTACACTTTCATTCTAGATATGTATGATGTACTTCTGGAGCTGGTTCAGTAAACGGAAGTGTTTTCCTCCGTTCGGAGTGCGTGTTGAAGTGTAATCAGTGGATCGAGGCGTAGGGCTCACTGACTTTGTTGGTTGTCTGGCATTGTGTCTTGGTTGTGTTGATCGATTGTTATGGTAACAGTCACTGCAACAGCGGGTTTACAGACCACGATCATATAGCTACTTGTATGAAACAGTTTCTTTTGTCTGTTGTATAACGCCACTCAGCAATATTCCAGCTATATGGCGGCGGTCTGTAAACAATCGAGTCTGGGCAAGACAATCCAGTGATCAATATCATGAGCATCGATCTACACAACTGGGATACGATGACATGTGTCAACCAAGTCAGTGACTACCCGATCCCGTTAGTCAACCTTTAAGACAAGTTTGGGTTGCTGAAGACCAATTTTAACCCAGATCATCCTTGATTACACAA